ATAATAATAATTAGAAATATTAAAAAATATATATAAGTATATATAATAACTATATATATATATATATATATATATATTTTAAACTATAAAAATTAAAAAGTAAAATTAGTGAAATCATATAAATTAAAAAACATATTTTTAACTTTTTATCAACTTGCACCTTTAGTAACACTCAAACCGGTGGCATTTATACTATTTTTTTTTTATTGACAAAGGGGCTTAGAAGCCCAAAAAAACACTAAAAGCCACGGGGGAAACAAAAAGCAAACTTATCTGCTAATAACAAAAAATGTGCCCAATTTGGAGGCGTGTTAAAACATTGAAATCCCTCTATGAAAGAGAGTCCTAATTTAGCAAATTTGTCCGCTACTTGGTTGGCTTCTCGAAAGATATGAACACACTCTACTTCGTAAAACCCTCCTGCCATCCTGACAATTTGGTTGATAAGGGAGTAACACGGATGAAATCTGGGACAACCTTTGTTCAAGAATTCAGTAGCTAATACTGAGTCAGACTCTATGATTATATGATATGAGAGAAATTTATCCTTTATCAATCTCAAACCATGAAAAATGGCCCATAATTTCAACTTGTAGCACTGAACAGTTTCCAATCAAACCTGAGAAAGCCAATATAAAGTCTCCATTGTTGTCTCGCAAGATTCCTCCACATGAAGCACGAACATTATCCGCAACTGCCCCATCACAATTAAGTTTCAGACTATTAGAGGGAGGAGGGGTCCATCGAATATGTGACTTTGGGTTATCTTTCTCGTAAAGAGTACGCGGCTTACAAAAAGTCGTGCTTGATAGGACATGCATGCGGCCTTTGATTTCACAAACAACCTGTAAAGGGTTTGTTACAATTTGACAAAAGGTGAAATTGTTACGATTCTTCCATAATGAGTCCAGTGTTAATGCAAACTCATGTATCCAATTAGGCGCTGACGTATCAAGGTTTGATTTTAGCCAAATAGTCAATTGGGAATTAAAAAAGTTTTGGTCCACATCTTGACCCATGATTCCCCTCCAAACCTCACGTGCAAATGTACAGTCACGTAGAACATGTAAAGTAGTTTCCCGATCCATGTGACAGCGGGGACATCTTGCATCTGAAGTTAAAAAGCGTGACAGCCTCCAAGCATTTGTGCATAAACTATCTTGTGAAATCCTCCATAGCAAACAACGAATCCGTTCAGGTCCAGGCCACTTCCAAATCTTTTTAAAAAGGTCTGTTGACTCAATTCTAGGTGAGGGAGTCAAGGAAGCATAAACACTTTTAACAGAAAACCTGCCATCACATGAACCACCCCAAATAATACAATCCTTGTCGTTTTCAAGGGAGGGAGGCGCAATACCCATGATCTCATACCAAATAGGAGTAGGTAGCAAAGACCGGAGTGTATCAAGCTTCCAACTTCCATCTTCTCCAACATATTCTGCCACTGTTTTGTTTTGGAAATCTATTGGCAAGTCTTACACAACCACCTTGTAGAGAACAGTCTTTGACGGAAGCCACCTATCTATCCAAAACTTGATAAGTAATCCATCCCTTACATTCCAAGCTATTTGAGGTTGAACTTCCACCCAAGCGGGGCAGATTCCCCTCCAAAAGTTAGATGCCACTGATCTTTTATTAACAACCGGAATAGACTCATCACCACAGGCATATTTGGCACGCACCACACGGACCCAAAGCTTTTCTGGTTGAGAACATAAAGCCCAGCAATTCTTCATCATGAAAGCAGTATTAACTTTGCGTGATTCCCTCAAACCTAACCCTCCGTCATCCTTAGGTTTGCAAAGAGTCTCCCACGTTAGAGCATGTATACGACGTTTGCCACTATCCTGTCCCCAAATGAAAGAACGATAGGATTTGTCAATATCATCACAGAGTTGTTTAGGGAGAAGGACAATTTGCATAGTATATGAAGGAATTGTGGCAAGAACCGATTTTGTTAAGGTGAGGCGCCCTGCAAAGGAAAGAGTTTTTGTTTTCCATGAACTTAATCTTCTATTAATGTGATCCATGACAGATTGAAGGCTCCTTTTACTCACACGTTCATGGTGTAATTTGATTCCAAGATATTTTCCCAAATCATCTGTACGTTGAAAGCCAAGCGATGAGCTTATTTCGTTTTTGACACTCCATCCTATATTCTTGGAAAAGAAAATCCTAGTTTTTTCCGTGCTCACCTTCATGCCCGAGCTGTGACAAAAATTATCCAGACAAGCTTTGATAATTTTAGCCTGGTCCAAAGATGCTTCAGAAAATAGAATCAGGTCATCAGCAAAAGCTAGATGGGATAAAGGAGGGCCTTTCTTTGATAATTTGATTGGCTTCCACAAATGATGATCTTCAGCAATTTTAATGAGGTGAAAAAGCCTTTCCATACATAATACAAAGATATAAGGAGATATAGGGTCTCCTTGACGAATACCACGAGACGGCACGAATTCCTCTAAAGCTTCCCCATTCCAAAGAACCTGCATCGAGGGCGACGAGATACAATGCCATATTAGCTCAATCAATTTCTAAGGTAGGCCAATATCAGCTAACGTATCTCTAAAAAAGTTCCAATTTAATCTGTCATAGGCTTTTTCAAGATCAATATTTCATTCTTCTCTTTTCCATTTCATCTCTTTCTTTTAATCCAAACATAACCTACGTTTATTGGGAGAGACACACGATTTGAACAAAATCTGTACTATTTACTAAGCTATAGGAACATTCACACAAATTATTCTGACTTATAATACAACAATATGTTTATCCCAACCACACGAGTTTACTTAGGTGAATGATGAGTTTAACCCCCCATAACTTAAAATTTGTGGATAAGAATACCATTTTACTTCCAAAACCCAATAAAGAATTGCTTAGTTAAGGAGATGCGTGGACATGAAAGCTTTCGGATGATATCTACATCCATAACATGCCTATTCCATCAAACATCAACGTCTAAACTTAATACTTTGGCATACACAAAATACATTGTCAAACGAAAATTTCCAATAAAGAATTAGTTTATTGTCCTCAAAAAGTTGTTTCATTCGAGTGGATATCCTTATCTTCCACTTCCAGTCATACAGATTTTACTCGGAAACAAAATTTTAACCCTGAAGAAATTGAAACTAAATGTGAAAGCATTGTTGACCTCACAATAATTAACTTATTTAAACTAATTTGTTAAAACTCTGTAGTATTAACTTCTACAAAAAGTATTTTATAACTTATGTACAAGTTAACTCTAATTCATAAAGAAACTTATATTACTTTTTCTTTTAATTTTCTTTTCTTAAAAGTTAAAAGTACTTATGAAGTGTAAAAGTTTCTTATTGGTCTCCAATTAGATCTTACCAGTAAAACTTGCATTAAATAATAAAATTCACTCTGACAAAATCCTACAATGAAGACATAAAATAAAATTGTTCATAACAATGGCTTTTATTTTTAATTGGGCATTATATAGCTTCGTTAAGCAATTCTCAATGTGAAAAAATAAAAAGCTATTTAAGCTCGTTAACCCTTCGACTGCCGACAAAATAGCATAAAGAGACTACATACTTCATTTGATTGCCAAATTGTTAGAATTGCAGTATGAAGTTCTAATTTGTATGTGAATATATTTTATTGAGGACTTCTATAAACCTTGTAACAACTATTGTTCTATTAATAGTTTAGTATGTTAATTTCAAGAGAGTTAACTGCATTCAGATATGTCATTTCCGATTTATTTTTATTCTTAGAGCCCAAATTATCAAAAATAAATATTGGATTTTATAGTATGACACCAGGTAAATGGTCACAGTTCCAGACTTCCGGTGTGTGCACACTCTACTTGTTTGAAACACAGATAATCAGATTGGAAGCATTTGAATTCGTTTACTTTCCAAACGATGACAACAGGAATTCTTATTCAATTCCATTATTCCATTCTGCTCTTTTCCATTTCATCTCTTTCTTTTAATCCAAACATAACCTACGTTTATTGGGAGAGACACACGATTTGAACAAAATCTGTACTAGTTACTAAGCTATAGGAACATTCACACAAATTATTCTGACTTATAATACAACAAACTGTTTATCCCAACCACACGAGTTTACTTAGGTGAAATGATGAGTTTAACCCCCCATAACTTAAGATTTGTGGATAAGAATACCATTTTACTTCCAAAACCCAATAAAGAATTGCTTAGTTAAGGAGATGCGTGGACATGAAAGCTTTGCCCCTCTACAGTTCCAGCTAACTATATTCATCATATCAAGTATTTAAAATTCAGGTTTTGACACCCCAGGGTCATCTTGACTACTCAAACTAGCCTGTCTTCCATCAACATAATGTAACGTTTCTTTCCCTTCCTCAATGAAGTGACGACGCAATAAACCAGCTACGGTATTTGTATGTTCATCATAAGGTTGTGTAGAGCGCATTGCGTCCACGGCCTTGGTGAAGGGGATATTTCCATTGTCCGAAAAGTTTTTTAGAGCCGCGAGAACCAGCTCTGTATTGCATGCCTCACGTTCTGCATGAATTGCATGCAAATTTATTGACGTGGGCGTATCAACGTTTCCAACTTGCCGGGACCCACTCATAAGGCTAATTGCATGAAAAAGTTTATCTTCATGTGAAGATTGGGGCCCATTCAACAGGCTTTTCACAGAAGCCACTTTAGCATGAATTCCTTTACCATTTGATAATTGCATATTTGATCCTTTATTACGAGGATATTGCGGATTTTTTCCGCCTGACGTATTACGGAATGTAATGGTTTTTGTTGAGATTTTTGGGGCTGACTTGGCAATAGACGGATTTGATGGAACAAAATCTGCAGCATTATTATCGTCACTTATTAGAATCCCGTGATTCTCGGGATTGTGTCTTGATTCGCTTTTTGAATTCTTGCTTCGAGAAAACTGGGGTTTCCTTTTGCGCTTGACAATCATCCATGGTCCATACTGTTCTTCCTGATCGGACTGATTGACCACTACAGTAGTCATTTTTCTGGTGGCATATGATTATTCACCTTTTGAGAAAATGACTTCTCCAATTGGTTATCCATATCCATAGGCTTCTCTGCTGGATTACTATTGGCATCAGAACCATCATTAATTTTTGAATGAGGACAATGATCTTGTTTATGACCATATATACCGCAATTAAAACAGATCGAATGGAGACCTTCATATTCGAGTTTCAGAATGTGTCCTAACACGTTGATTTGTGCTACCAATTTTTTCTGCAGATCAATCTCAACACAGATCCTTGCAAAACGTCCACGTGATTGAATCGACGTAAGTTTGTCTATTTTTAGCATAGTGCCTAATTTGCTCCCAACTCTCCAGAGGAAGCGATCATTGAAAAGTTCAATTGGAAGTCCCGGGATACGGACCCAGGCTGCAATCTTTCGGGTTTGTTTTGCCGTCACTGTAAAGAAAGGTCTCCACCGTTGAACCACTATATAATGATCAACAATAAGCCAAGGGCCTTCAAAAAGCGCATGTTTGTAGTCTTCCTCAGCAGCAAATTGCACAAGATAAAAGTCTTGAGATATATCCACCAATCTCACCGTTCCATTCTTGGCCCACTCCTTTTGAACCTTATTTTCTAACATTCTGTATGCCACTCGTTTACCAAGAACATTGATAACCAAAGAATTTTTCCATGGTGCACACCATTCTTCAAACTCTTCTTGAGTAACATGAATTTTAGGGCATGGGTCAAGCTCCGCAGAATCTCCCTCTAGCAAATCTTGATCCTTATAAAACTCATCTTCCGGGCAATCCATCTCATGAATCAAACTTTTAAAATCCGTGAAGACCTTGCCACCATCATTAGATAGAAGACTCTCCATGTAGGATTTGGACGGACTTTTATTTTCTTCAGCTTCAACATCAGAACCTTCCATACGAACATCCTCTATGATTAAAGGTTCAGGGTTGGACGATTTCGTTTTGACCTTCTTCGTACTCCTAAACCGCGAATCTTCTCCAGTCGACACCTTTGAACCCGGAACCCTAGCAGAGCTCTCCATTCGCTATTTTAATTTCTCAAATGATGGCATTTATACTATATCTTATTGTCATTTAATAATTTTTTTAAACTTTTAAAAGAAAAAATTAAAAATACATTGATATCAATTAATATTATATATTCTTGTAAATCATTGTTTTTTTATGTATCTTTATTTAAAATTTTCCATTATTATTTAAACTTTTTATCTATCAAAATTAAATAATGATATTAAAGTTTAAATTTAGGATTATGTACATACTCATCTCAAATCCTCTAGGATTAAGAATGTATTTGAAAACCAGTTGCAATTCAAATGGAATAAAAAGACCTATATATATTCACAAGCTTTTACTTCGTTTTATTAAAACGTGAATTTTTTCAGTGAATGTGATTTTAAAAGTTATATCTAAACATACACTAAGTGAGTCACATTTAGTTGGATTAGTTAAATTAACATTTAAAAAAAGATATTGAATGTCTAAGTTTTGTCCTTTGGATACGGTAGACGGTGTTATGGTAATAATCTGAAGGGTGAATGTTCTTGGAGCTTTATCGGAGAGTGACAAAAAGTATCCAACAAACAGAAAAGAGCACTACTGAACTGAAAGTCTGAATCGCAGGATTTATGAGTTTCAATACTTTTGACGAATTCTGAAACGCAGGCTTTTGAGAACGTGGCTACAGGTACGATTCTCCTCCCTCCTCACTTTTTTACCCATTTATATCACGTTTCTACTATCTCCTGTCTCCTCTCTGACAACCATAAATTTAATCATTACTACTATCTATTTGAATTTTGAATTTCTATCCCTCAATAATGTCTCCAATCCTACAATACTCAATTCTGCTGCATAATCCAACCAATTAGTTAAGTTTCTGATTCTAATTCCATACGTGTTTCTACCCATTCATTTAATTAATTAGAAACATTAATTCAAGTCTTTCATAGTAATTTTCTCCATCAATTCATTTCATGTTTGTAACAGTATTGTTTTATAATACATTAAAAATGCCAATAATTTGTATGTTTTGCTAAAATTTATTTAGAAAACCTTATTTTGGCTGGATTGAGAACTCAATCTGATACACTTCTTTATAATTTGAAACATAAAATATATATTTTATGATACACTACTTTATAATTTGAAAACTCATCAATTTTTTCATATAAAATATATATTTTATGATTTTCTAATTATAATAATTGGTAATGATTACATTAATATCTATTAAAAAATTAAAAACTGGAAAAACAAGGGAAATGTAAAAAATCATCATTTTGACCAAGGAACAAAATTAGATATAAATGATAAAACTCGAAGAAAATACTACTCATTAATCTCAAAAGTCATATTACAATAACTTGATTAAACAATATTATTTATCTCGATGGATAAACTATTTTGAGTTAATACATATTAATTGTCATTTATTCTTTGCAAAACTTAATTACATGACATAAAAGTAAAGACAATTCTTCTTATTCTTCATTGTTCCAAATTGAATATTAGTTCCTTCTTTGATATTGTTGGCTGTGCAAAAATCTTTTTATCAACCACTCAATCGGTAGTAAATTGGTGAATTAGTGTGTCAATTTATCATACATTCAAATATGCTGTCTTTTCTATCACATAATTTAATAAAATTGGCATTTTTGGAAAGTATGATGACAAAATCTAATAGGCAAATATATATATATGAAGAAAGAAAATTGGTTATTAAATAAAGATTAAAAATAAAAAAAATGATATGAAAATAAAAGAAGGATTACATATTAGAATATCCGAAAAAATATTTAGCTCATTCAAATTTTTGAACAACTAACAAAAATATTTAGAATGACCTTAGATATATTTTTCTTTTGTTTGTTTCTCTTTACACATTGGCAAAGAATGATTTTTAAGTTTGATTTTTGATTTTGATTTTTTAGATGATCAACTTCATCGTTTAATCTATCTTTGACAATCATAACAAATGTGTTTTCAAATATATAGGTTAAAGTTAGTCAATCTCCTTTCTCAAGATCATAAAAAGGACTTGTTACTTGAGAACCTTCAATTAAATACTTTAGACTTTTTTAATTGGTAGATACCCTAAAATCATTTTCCAAAAAATCTTTAAAAATGACAATATTTAGAATGATATTATAGAAATCAAGAAAGAACATTAAAGATAACCTAATTTTATTTTTTCCGAAAAAAGTACGTTATATTTAATATGAAACACATTGATATGCAATAATTATATATAAAATATAGAAACCAGATATAAATTAAAACTCCCATATTATGAAACATATTCACTATGAAAAATTTGGTTCTTTATATCTTTTAATATTTGTTGTTCTTCGTGATCGTATCTAGACCACTAATCCACTTGTAAATAATATTAGAAAAAATACAAAATGTTGTAAAAGGAGAAGGGGTAGAAGCCTAGCTAGAAGGAAGTTATGAGAGTCGAAGGAGAATTTGATGAGAGTGGGAGGTTATGAGATGAGAGGTTATAAAATACAAAATATGAGAAAAATATGCAATCATGCTTTACAACTTTAAATTAACCAAGAACAATGAAACAATATTGAGTCAGATTATGATATTTTTATATATGATAAATAAGAAGAATGCAAATAGCTATTCAAAGTTATTATTTTGAAAAAATTTATATAGTGAGAGATCTGTGTATAGAAAATACGGACATAAAAGAAGTAAATATCCATTCCAGGCACTGTTAAAGAATCTATACAATAGTTATGTTTTTTAACATGATAAATTATGCGAAAAAATAAATTAAAGACACATTAAAAAAAAAAAATTATAAAAATGATCGTAACGAGAATTGAACATAAATTTAGTAATTATCTATTTTGTTTTATATATATATAAATATGTTTCAGTTACATAAAATTATTTGGATAACAAGTACTTTTTTTTATTTATTATTTAACGTTATTGTATGCACGACATTTAAAGTCAAGGCTTTTAATTAAATAATTAATTTTATTTATTTAATTTAATAAAATATTTGTGATATAAACTTAAAAATATTTACGTTAATGGTAATATTTTAGTTTTTTTTTAACAAATGATACTCTTTAGGCACAGAGATTTTCTTTTTGTTATTAGGTTGGTATTTTTATTTTTATTTTTTTGGGTGTTTTAAAATACACGAGTGAAAAATAAAAATGTTAAGAATAAAATAAAAGGTTGTAAACCCTACGGTCTGAAGCTGGATTAAAATAGAAAACAAACTAGTTTATATTATAGTATTAGATTACTTTTATTTATTAATAATTTATTTAAAATATTTAAATTTAGGCTAAATTTAGTCTTTTATCTTATTTTTATATATTTATTTTAGTTTTTTATTTGAGAAATGTCATTTTGATAATTTATTTTTGATATTTGAATTAACTTGGTCTTTTTAAATCAATGATTATTTAAATTTTGCAACACAATTTTGAATTAATTTTTAACTGATTTAAGACATGAAACTTGTAGCATTAGATTCACCTATATGAATATTATGAAATTTAATTGAAATTTGAATAAAAATATTAATATAATGAAAATCATGTGAAAAATATATCTCACAAGAAATTAAAAAAATAATATGAAATTAGATTTTTGAATTTTTAGTTGCTTTCTAAACTTATTTTTATGTGATTTTCACCTATTTGTTTATAACACTTTTTGTTTTAAACTTTAGTTGTAGTCAATAATTCTTACAAAAGTGAATATAATTAAATAAGTTTCAAGTCTTGAATCATTCAAATAAAAATTCAAAATTGTTTCAAAATTCAAAACAATTATTGTTTCAAAATGATCAAATTGACCTAAATTTATGAAAGACAAAAATGAAAATTTTAAAAGATAAAAGACCAAAGTGTATATTAAAAACAAGATAAAGGATTGAAATTAAAATTTAACCTAAAATTTAATTCATAAATAATTATGATAAACAAAAATCAAATTAGATAAGAAATTAAAAAAATTTCTAAAAATTTTTTCATTTAAAAAAGTCTCTAAAATTGCACTCACACTAATAACAATTCATATTTAATATATATGGATTGATCATTATTATTTTTAATGCTTGCAATGTTTTTTTTTATTGTCAGCTTGCGATGTTCAAAATAAAGGAAGTAAAAGAGTATTACTTTTTTGGAAGTAAAAATCAACTCATATATGTTAAACATAAACCATTATAATGCGCGATAGTGTTTTTAAGGTTTTTTCTTCTACGAGAGAATATATAGGAATTCTTTTAAATTTTTATCTAATTCAATTTTTATTTATCATCATAATTATTTTTGAATTAAATATTAATATTTTAAAATAAATAAATAAAAATAATTTTGTTACAATATAAATTATTTATTATAAATTTAAAATATATTTTACGTACTCAAGTATAGTATTTATTTATATATAACTTATTATATATTTTTATACTATTAGTAAAAGTGATGTCTTTTTTATGTATACATTTTATCAATTGTTTTTTCCCTTACTTTTTTTTTTTTTTGAAGGGAACAAACATAAGCCGTTTCATTGATGATAACCGTAACAATGAATTGTATGATTGTATGATTGTTTATTTTAATTTATTAAGTAAATGATTTATGTATTTATGGTTTTGATGTTTTAAAACTCTAAGGATTTAAGAATTTTTATGAGTTTAATTGTTTAGGAGTTGTTGCAAGTTTAGGTCACTATTGACTAAGTTTAGGGAAAGGTGTATAATCTTTTCTTAAAACTTGAATTTTATTAGTTCATTTCCTTAAGAAATCTAGAGAGAAATTAAAAAGAATAAGCTCTAGAGGCAAAGGGAATCTTTCTTCTTTCTTACTTCACGGATTGACTTTGATTCTACCCCATAGCATCTTTAGTAGCAGTTGAGTTGAGATTCGTAGCTGAGAAGCGAAGAATCAAAGGGAGAAGTCGTTGTATGAGAGTTCGGGATTTCTCAAGTTTTTTCCCTTTCTTTTTTTTTTCTCTAAAAAATTCAAGGTAAGAAAAA